AGAGGTCAGCATCATGGTCTTTTCTCTCTTGGGAAGTACTCAGTTTCTTTATCTGTGTGAGAATCCTATCATTTTTTTAAGTTAAATGAGAACAGAAGAGGTGATACTTGACATTTTTTCATGAGTGCACTGTGAATGCCTTTTCACCAAGGAAAGCATATTTCTATAAGATGGCCTGTGACAATCACACATGACCAAACTGACTCTGCTAAGTGGCAAGAGACTATGGAAACATGTTACAGCATGTAGATATTTTCTGTGGACCTAGATCTGACTGAACATAAAAAAGACAGATCACTCTCTTAAATATGTGGAGAACTACAAATTACTACAAAAAGTGCAAGGTGGTAGCTCTCTAGGCAAGGGTCAGGAGGCTTCTTGTAAGCTGATGGTCAGGACAGTGAAATGGAATTTGGCACAGTTTATATTTTCCAGAAGACCTACCGGAGCTTTTGTCTGAATGTGTCACTGGTGCTTACACAGAATGTGTCTCCACTGCTGTGTTCTGTCTCTTGGTCACGGGCAGAATCTTCTTATTACTGGATGTTCATGGATGTTCATGGATGCTCCCATAGTGATCTAGAGTGTAAAGCTAAGAAGTGATCAGAGATCATCTCCTATCCACCAACCAGAGCATTGCTGCTCATAACATTACTGCTCAAGAGCAGAGAGCACTTGCTTGGGATCCACTCCAATGCTCAGGGTAGAAATGAGTGTGATTTTCTGTCCTAGGAAGACAAATGCAAGAGGCAGCTGAAGCAGAACCGCTGTGTGAAGGCTCTGGGAGACACAGATGAAGCATATGCAGAATGGCCAGACCACAGTGGAGGCTCCAGACCTTTGTCCTTCAGATCTCTGTGATGAGGCTGAGCTCCTGATACTCCAGGATATCTGCATAAGGGAAGTTGTGGCTTCTGTTGTAAGTTAGGTGCCCTTAAGGACAGGCATGGGAAGTTAAGTGCTAGTGTTGGCTGATATTTTTGGTGCAGGTATTTTTTTTTCCTCTTTGCTGCACTAATGGAGATCCATATGACAAGCACGGAGTCAAAGAAACAATAGATGCCATGTGCTATAGCTTATGTGTATCTTAGTGAACTTTGCAAAGACCAAGCTTCTCCTGTCTATAGGTTTCTGGCAAGCACCTCACTTAGCACCCTAAGTACATGAGTCACAGTTGGGCTTGGTCTAGCATCTTATCAGTTGTCCATTTTAAGAGAAGATGATGCACTTGTTCACCAGTATTTGTCCAATATTTGCAAAGTGTGAAGCAGATTCGCAGAGCATGGTGAATATGGTGAGGCAACACTCACACACAGTAAATGGCAGTAAATAGATTTAAAGCTGCCTTGGGAAAAGAAATCTTGAATGGTCCTGGATTCTTTTGCTACATCTAAAGGACCCAAAATTCAGACTGGACAGGGTTCTGTGGTAGAGGACCTGAGCTCAGTGGGTTTTATGCAGTACAGTCCTGTTTCAAGAAATTGTATTCCCAGCATGTTCTATAGATGCTCTTCAGGACTAGAAGGGAGAAAGGAAACTGCACAGCATCATCAGAGGAGGGAATTTTGTCAGGGAATTCTCTTCTCAAGTAAAAGGGTGACACTTGTGCCCCTGAGTCTGTAATTGGGAGAGTCTTCTTAATTCCTGACTACTTATCTTTCTTTTGGTCTTTGTACAAAGTACTAGCTTTCTTTTTAGCAGAACTAAACTCTTTAGCAGTCATACATCTTTTGGCTCCATTTTTGCTCAAGGTTCATTCTGGGCTACAGTTTGTTTCTTACATTTTTCTTCCTATATCATTTGCTCTGAAAGTATGCTAAAAGAGGTTAATAATACCCATGCCACAGCATGGATATTTGGCTGTCTTGAAATTTCCTCCCGCAGCTCAATTAGCCCACCATACTTAAGCTCAGTCTCCTGCTCAAGTCTTAAGACATGGGCAAATTATAGACAAATTTTATGTGAGTGTAACCCACATGAACTTAGCTATAAACATGAGTGAAGTCCTTCTTTCAAACGGAAAACTCCTGAGCCCAGTGTTCCCTATTTGTATTTATGTGAGCATCGTGATATTCTGACCTCTGAACAGAATCACCCAGCGAGTTGTTTCAGGCATTCCAAAGCTTTTATAGCCTAGTATTCCAAATATTTCCAAATTCCTCTCATAGGTCATTTTCAAAGCTTCCTTAAACACATATTCACAGCAATAACCCCACTTATCTGTTATCCATTTTCTGTGTTAGTCAGCATTTCCATTGTTATGACACAATACATGATACCCACATCTTCAAGGAGGCGAAGTTAAATTTGGCTCATAGTTTTGGGTAATTCAGTTTGTCATTATTTTTTACAGGGGAGAAATGACATGGCAGAAGTGTATAGCAGAGCAAACCTAGTCAGTTCATGATTGTGGAATCAGAGCAGGGGACCAGTGCCAAAGAGAATTGAGGAAGCATATGCAGTGTTGAAGAAGCTATGTCCTACATGCTCCAGCAGTATGTTTTTTTAATTATTTAAAGCTCTAAAAGGCCATTACTGATACAGCATAGCCAAGGCCATCCATCCATAACTCACTCAGACAAAGCAACAAGGATGTTACATATTTTTTATTCAATGAAGTTGACATTTGAGGATTAACACAAGTCTCTGATCAGGAGAGACTGTTACTAAACAAGGGTTAAAGATTAAGGGTAACTGAGAAGGGAAAGTAGAAGTGTAATTGGAAGGCCTGTATGATCAGCTATATGATATGTCTATATGAAAGCACAGAAATGAAACCTAACAAATCATTTAGTTAATAAGAACTATTAAAATATATTTTATGTATGAATTTTAAAAGTAAGGATATGAAGCTTTATAATGTAATGAGCACAGAAATTACATTTCTTCTGTAAGAATCTGTTATTTTCATCATTGCTATTTGTGTTATAGGTATTAACATTATAGATGTATTATTATTTATTGGTGTTCTGGGTGATTTCTTAAGTCTGGTTTCCTCATATGTGTGGTTTTAATGCATTGAAGGTTGGCTAAATGCCGTACGTATATAGATTTTAATGTCTGGAATCAATGCATCCAAGACTTTGCCAAAGGCCCTGCATGCTTCAAGACACTGCAATGCCCCATAAATATATAATCTGGCTTGACCTCTCTTTATTCTTGAACAGACATTCAATTTAAACCAGAGAACAAAGCCTAGAACCTTTTAATTTCCTACTAGAATATGTACATAACGGAAACCTGAGTGTGATTCTGTTTCCCCAAGAGTATGCCTAGGCTCATCAAAACCCATTTCACACCTCTTGGTGATAAATTTCAATTGTCAACTTGACTGGATTTAGAGATACCCAGGAGAATTTTAACCATATCCTGGATAATTGGGCTTTTCCCAAGATGACTGGCAAACTGCGGAGAGATGACCCATGCTGATTGAGGGTGACTCCTTCCCGCAGGCTTGCAGCCCAGGTGGAATGGGCAGTGAAGAGGAACATTGACTGCACTAGAAACCATGACTGTTCTTGAGTGCGTGTGTCTCTTGTTGCTGCTGTCTCTCATGGACATCAAATTAAAACTTTTTCAAGCTTTCAATGTTAAATCATATGAGTGACTTTCTAGTGAGAAATGAAAACTCAAAGTCTCTAGGAATATTCCAGGCCTTCAGCCTTACAATGATAATGCAACATTGGTCCCTTTTATTCTGGAGTTTGCAGCATCTTGAACTGGGAAGCTCCTGCCTCTGCATTGTCCTGACGGTCTTGATTCAGTAAGAAATTAAATATTAGCTGTTTGATTAATTTATGCATACTACTTTATTCACTTTTCTCATTTAGTGAATTTGAACCAATACAGTTGTTCAAATGTCAGTCTTCCTTTTCCCAGTTTGCTCAGCCTCTTGGTTAGTCAACTCTGAATACTGGCTTAACAGTAACAGAATGTTTATTGATCCTGTTGATTATTTTGAAAAACACACTGAAGTTTCAGCTGTTCAGTTAAAGAAGCCACAATCTATATAATTAGGACAAATGTCCAAAAATAAGGCTTCTTCATGAGCAATCATCCATAAAGACCAAAAATAAAGACATTTATCTAGATTTGGAGTTTTTGCAGGAAGTCCAAACCTGTTATTGGCTTCTGCAATGAAAAGTATTTTGGTGGTTTGTGTACCTGGAGTGGGTTTTCAAGGCTTCTGTGACCTCATCAAAAACAATAGTTTTCCAGGTATTTATTTCAGTGGTGCAGTGCCTTCCTGGCAAGCGTGAGGTCCTGAGTCTAATTCCTGATACCCTCCTCTCAAATAAAAAATAAAAGGGAAAAATGTTAAAACAGATTTTCTGAGACCCTTGCTACACCTCCAAAAATGTTTCTATGGGCACTTTTTTAAAATTAAAAAAAAATCTTGATGTTCATGATTGGGACTATCCAGGAGACTTTACTGGTTATACGTTTAAGTCTCAGTTGGATAGATCATTTTGTATCAGTTGTCATCTTGACTGTGTTAGAGATAATTGTAGTGTTTTTTTTTTGGTCCTTGACTCCCAAAACACAGCTAATGACCATTCCTTTCATTGCATATATGTTTTAGCATCTCAGGATTAACGTATACTTTTGCTCTTTGAGTGCTCAAGAAGTTACAAAAATTGGTATGTGAGAATTCAGTTTTATAAGTGTGGTAAATCAAGTGAACTTTGATGTCAGTACGTGCAAGTATATGCTTAGTGAAGTTCAATGTTTGAAGACAGAAAAACCATGTCCTTTCAGCTCATGTTCTGACAACACAGCAGACCAAAAATGGGAAACAAAATTCGTTCCATTTTTCACATCATCACGACACATAAGTGCTCTCCATAGGGCCCTGACTCAGTAAACTAGCTATGAGTAGCTCTTCCCCAGATCAACATGCAGAATGCAGGTATTTTGAAGTCAGTTTTGCAAATGTTATTTTTGAGTCTTTGTGGCAGCCTTACTAAACAGAGAAAATGGTTTTCATCCTACTTCCCCATTCATCTGTGGCACTGTGGTTTAACAATATGACCCACCAATGTTGTAACCTGCACCACAGATATAGTCAGCTTCATCCCCAGAATTGATGTTGTGATGGTTAAGTAGCGGTCAGTCCCAGAGTTGGAACCTGAGAATCGATCAGGAATTCCATCTTCTTTATTGGAGCTTCCATCACTGTTAACCCACATCAAATGCTGAGGGGCCTGCTCTGGGTACTGCTGAAACCATGCAATGTCATAGGTTTTATATTCACTATTGAGGGTGCAGGTGAGCTTGGCCAAGGCTCCAAGGGAGGCAGAGGCAGAGGGTGACTGTGTCAGCACAAGCTGGGAGAGAGACCCTGAAAACACAAAAACTCATTATGTTATGGAGAAAGGAGAAGAGAAAAGAATATTTTAGTGATGAGTCTGAAAGATGGATTCATTGAGCTAAACAGTCAAGACAGTTCTGGCCTCTGCAGTGAAAGATGATAAAGAAGAGGAGTGGAGTCCAGGCCATGGTGCAGACACCCCAGAGCTCTGCTCAAGCAGGCTCACTGCAGGTCTATCTTATATATCCTCAATCCCAGGAGGAGACAGAATTCTCTTTATGCAAATTAACTTGTCTTACCCTGAGACTATTTACAAATAATAATTGGGTTTTTTTCCCTAGGAAACAGGCAGAAACTACACTGAGCTTGGCCTGAAGCTCTTTAGGAGCCCACAAGGACCTAATTAGTGGCCCAAACTATCCCTTAGCAAGCCTAGGATGCAAATATCTGCTTTTCTAGTTGAGAGACCCACACATCTCACAGCAGCAAGAATAGTGTTTCCTGCTGCCCAGGCTCAAGTTCACTTTGTCTGTGAGCAGATGATTGCTGGCTCCTGATCAGACCATGACCTTCACTACCGCCTGCCTATGCCAAGAGCAGAGTGAGTCCTCCACCAAGAGGTATCCCCTACCTCGTTTCCATCTTGGATTTGTACTTGAGCCTCTTTAAGTGGAAGAATCTATTCTATCAAGAGTTGTCTAGGAAGATACAACTCTTACACAGGCTCTTCTTGAATATGAATTAAATTAGCTGACAACCCAGACAGTTCATAAATGAACTCAAATCTCCTGCGGTTCCTGATACCAGCCAAGCCTCCACCCCCACCACTTTATCTCTTCTCTCTCTTTGTTACTGAAGAGTCTGGTCCACAGTGGATTATTGATAAGTGTTTGGGAGGACAAGTGAGAACAGTGTATGACTCACTAGATCAATGAGAAAACAGAAAATATAAAGAAAAGATACTATATTGGTCGGTTTTCCCATGACTGAGAGAAAACATCTCATACCTGCAAATTAAAGCAGAGGTTTATTTTGGATCACAGTCTTAAGAGTTCAGCCAGTTTATTGGTTTCAAGAGAGAAACCTCATGGTGGAGGGCTGTGTCAGAGGAAAGCTGTTCTCTTCATGGTGGCTGGAAGTGGAGCACAGGCAGAGGTCACCTGAGAATAATGGGCCAGGGATAAGATGTGGTCCACAAGGTCACACCAGCATGACCCCAAGAAGTCTACAAAGGTGTACTTTACTCTCCCACTCTAATCAATTAGGGAGTCCAGATGGTTATATCTGTTGAAATCAAAGATATGACCTTGGAATATTTAGTGAAGTAAGGAATTAGAGAGGTTGCCAGAAGAAGAGTGAGGGTAAATATTAATAGCAAAAGAAGGAATCGCAGAATGTATTCCAGACCTGATGATTATGATACATTTTACACATTTTATAAGTTTCTCAGGTGATTTCTTTGCCCACTAAAACTGAGAAGTACTGTTCTAATGCAAGCTTGAGACACTTCTATATCTCTGACATAAATAGTTTCACACAGCTCAGTGTATTTGAATTTTAACTTCTAAGAGTTAGCCATACCCTAACCCTAGGCAAACTTTGGAGGAAATTTCAGTTAACAAAAACCCAAATTGACATCCAACATTGTTCAAAATATCCAGTGGTTCAAAAGAATAGAGTAGTCAGGTTACTTTCTCCGAGTTCTTGAAAATCCATCAAAGTGAGCTCTCATCATCCCAAGGGGCATCAACTGTGTGGAAACCATACCCATATAATGCACTTTGTCAGCAGACAGGGTTTCAGGGTATCAAAAGTGGTGATGAAGAACCAAAAGCTAGTTTAGTTGTAGAATAAGCTGCAAGTTCAGTGACACTGGTAATGGTAAAAGAATATTTTCTGTGGGATACTGAGGGACATTAAGGAATTTATTAGGTACAAATGTAATAGTACACACACAAAGAAATTGAGTGTACACTCTTCAGAGAGTGAGGCATGCAGCCATTTGGGGCAGGTAATACATATGTGTCTTTGGCTGTGTAAATCTGTGGAGTCTGTGAATGTGCATGAAGTTTCTTCTTGGTCTTGGTTCATGAGAAACAGGTTGACTAATTCATAAGATAATGGCCCATTTTCCAGATGAAAGACTTGAAACTTACAGTGTTTTTGATAGGTCATTTAGCATGTTTTGCCCCAAATATTTTGAACTCTCATAACCTGTTCCTTTAAAATCAGGTTTCTGCCCTTTATCAACAAAGAAATTTATAGACTTACATTATCTTTAAGAAATTTTGGCTGTGATAAACTTAGAAGAAAAGCATAAATGAACATAGGGAGTTCTGATACTGATAACCTTGGGTAACTTTGATTGGTTCTTGGAGTAAAATCTGCCTGTAAATACAAATATTTCAGTTATGATTTTCATTGTCTCCCTTCTAGCCATCTGTATTTCTTCTATCCTAACTCAACATACTCAACTGTCAATAGTGGCTTGATGCCTTCTGAGCCATGGTATATTTGCTCCTTGTCTCTTTCTTGTTCCACAGTGTGGTTTGCTGCTCCCAAGTCCCTCATGTATTCCCCAAGCCTACTGTCTTCTACTGCATTTTGTAGCTGGAGCCTTGGGTGATTCCAAGGAGCCAGGCGAGCTCTGTACCTAGATTCCTCCTGAGTCTGTGTTCTCCCTCATCGATTCATATTTTGTTGCTGCACACAGTGAGACATGGGCAGCATGGGGCAGTGTTGACTGTGAGGAAGGGGGAGCTATTTGGTGTGATACCTGCAAGTACAGAATCTAAGACATCAAGACAACTGTCCTTCTGGGATGGCCCATGCACTCCTACTGGGAGAGCAAACAAAGCCCCATCTCATTTTTGTAGTAGCATCGCATCCTTTTATATAATTTTAAATTCATTGTACTAGAAACAAAAATTTATACCCATCACAGATTGTGTCTCCTGATATACTAGCAATATTTTTTTTGTAATTTGGGATGATGAATGGTGTCAGATTTTAGCTAATTCCAAGTATAATCATTGTAAATATACTTTTATATTTCAAAAATGGGGTCATTGTCTAATTTCCAGGGCAGCCTCCAGTTTTTGTGCCACTTCTCCATCTGTGGGTGTCACTGTGATAAGCACTGCTGTACCAGATCATACATTAATAGTCTGCTTCATCCTCAAGGTGCAGCCCAGAAATATGCAAAATGCCTCCATTGGCTAAGGTGTCTTTTGAACCAGAGAAGCAGCTGGGAATTCCAAGACCTAGTTCCTTATTGGGTCCGAGTAGTAGGACAGGAGAAACTGAGGAGGACGCTGTGGGTTCTGCTGGTTCCAGTACACTGTGTAACGCCCCACACTGATATCATTCTCAAGGTTCAAGTAAGTCTGTCAGATGCTCCAAAAGATGCAGAGAGGGAGGATAGTTGAGTTGCCACAGGCTGCGAGAAGCAACCTGCACACAGATACATGTGGGTCACTGGGAACAAATCAGAATTACATTTTACAGGAGTTTCAAAAAAATTTACATGCGGGTTGAGTACTAACATCTGGTCTCTGAGGCCTGCCCTTACCTTAGCAGTGAAATAAGGGGAGGAGGAATCATGTAGTCCAAGTTATAGGGGATGGAGATGTTTGATCCTCACCGTAGGACTGAGTTGGCCCAGACTTATTTTTTCCATTCCTGGTTCTGGGAGGGGTTGTTTAGGCCAATGTGTTTTTATCATGACTGCACCAGTCTCTCTCTGAGCTGTGGTGCTGGAGATTATTTCCTATTGTTCAGCGGAGTTTGAAGACTTGTTTCCCCTCATGGGAGGAAGCACCTGCTAGTATGAGACAAAACCCTTGCCCAAGATACTCTGAAAAGGCAGAAAAGACATCCATCCAAAGCAATGAGGCAGCATCCAGCACACTTTTTTTGTTTGGTTGTTTGTTTGAGTAAACTGTTCTTACTGAGCAGCTGTCTAGAGACCACTGCAAATGCCTTCACGTCATAGCGCCGCCTTCTGGTCATAAAACCCACTCCACACCGTAGCCCAGAAAGTGGAGGGTCCACCTGCTTTCTGCATCTTGTCTGTGTAGTGTTCACATGTGTTCTCATTTATAAATGCTGCATCAGTATCTTTGGATGTGTCTTACCTCCAGAAGGAATCGAGGACTATGAAAGGTTCAAGAATGTTCACAAAGGACAATTTAAGATGGTAGTTCTCCCACTAAAGATGCTGAAGATACCATCGTATTATTTTACTGGCATATAATTTAACACATATATATGTTTTTGTGTTTCATAACTTGTGTTGATTAAAGAACTGTATTCCAATTTCTATCACTTGTTAATCAGGTAGTTAGATGTTAGCAGCCCGAAAGATGGGTTGGGGAGGTCTAAAAGTGTGCTTTGTCAGTTATAGTTATGTAAAAAAGCACAGGCTTTAATTTATAATACATTTATAATCATTCGTTAGGTATCTTACCCAGAGTACTCCCACCAAACACAGTGACATTTTAATGTGATACATGGTCCTTACTCCATCTTATACTTGGCCATCAGACTTTATATTTCCAAAACAAGTTACACAGAATTCCTGGGTGCTGTGACATCCAGGAACTCAATATATCTAAGGATTTTACAAAGCTCAATTTTTCTTTTCTGTTATTTTTTTCATCAGTTCCCTTTTCCCTCTTGTCTTCTTAATGGCTCATTCATGTGAAGTGTTAGTTGACCCCATTAATAGTGTTGACAAACTCATTGAGGATAAAGATGTTTAAAGAAGCTCTGTGTCAATCAAAAGTGTGACCTAAATATCATTAAATATAAACATTAAAATGAATTTACTGTATATTACCAAGAAAAAAGGTGGTTAAAAACATGAAAAATAGCACATTTTCATGTGAAAAATAAAACACAATTTTACAAAAGTTGAATATTGCACATTAATCCCAAACACAATTTCCAATTTTATATTAATTATGTAAATGTTGTATTTCCATTTCATGTAAAATCAATTATGTGGAGTATTTTAAATTATAATAAGG